GGGCTTAGACTAAGAGCACTTAGTTTGTCTTACAGTCTCGACTTACCCAGACAGAGAGATGAGAGAAAAGAGTTTGGTTTTTAACGCCCCTTTCAACACTATTAGGTTACCAATGAGGCGGGACGGCCAAATTCAAGGTCCGAACCAGGGCTATCCGCTGGGAAGTTCATTATGATACATGATATACCAACTAAGGTGATGGAGCACCCAAGACAGGAAATGACCTTTGGTGAAGAAAATTTATTGTGAGGAACAGGAAATGACCTTTGAAACAGAATAGTCTCATAAAAAATGTATACGAATAATAGGTAAAACATTCCGAAAAAATGACAATAACTAAAAGACAAAATATTTCAGAAAGAAAACTACATAAACAAATGAGGTATTACAATCAATTAGCTCATGATAAAAATGAGAATAATAATAAAAATAAAGATAATAATAATGATGATAATAATAATAATGATGATGACAATAATAATCATATATGACATTTATATAGCGCCCAATCACGATTAAAGAGCACAGGCTTTGAGCGGTTTACAAACACAATAACAACACATAAACAGTACATTGTGTTCTGAATAAAAAATCTATAAATTATATGTGATCCGAGGCATTTACTCGCCCCAGTGATAATATTATGATTACATTTGACACAGGAAATCTTATCAACAGTTCAGTATACGTGGTAGAGAAAAACTTGAGTGGACGGACTGTGAAAGAGACATCCCTAGAAAAATATGACCTTCAATAGAAGAAAATATTATCGATACAATATAACTATAATTATAATGACCTTTGGTAAAGATAGAGTATCACATTATTGCTTGGTAAAGCTGGAAAATATGTGACATGGAATAACATGTGTGATGTTGTGACTTGTCAATGTAGGCCCCACAAATGGTCATCTGTGACGTCACTGGTCAATGTCGGCCAACCATGTTGTGACTTGTCACTGTAGGCCCAACTAATGGTCACCTGTGACGTGACTGGTCAATATAGGCCACCATGATGTCACTGGTCAATGTAGGCCCAACAAATGGTCACCTGTGACGTTGTGACTGGTCAATATAGGCCCACCATGATGTGACATGACCCATGAGGTCACCTGCCACCCACCACAGGCCCAGCCAACAGTACGGACACAGTCCCAGAGTCAGGTTTGAGAACATTTTATCACACAAGGAAATACATACGACGAACGTACATATTACACAAACAGTGACCAACAAAAAATAACGATAAAAGTAAACTTGGATCCCCCATTTTATTTAGAACTGACTTTACCTAGTAGAGTGGGTCACAGTGGGCCTGTTGCTACGTGTTACAGCGCTGCTTGTCGACCGTTCTAATGCCAGCCCCCAAACTTTGACCACATCTCACAGACACAAACATCCGTAGCGCCTGCCCATCTAGATGTATAGTAAACCATCACAATAAGATAATTGAAGTGCCGGGGATAAGAGAGGCGTTACTGGAGAGTAACATACACAGAAAAGAAGGAGAGGTAAGGAAGATGGAAGTTTGGTAGGAAAGAAGGGAGCAAGCTACACAAGAGCACCCGCCAACCACCCGCTACAACTCCTCTACAAACTGTCTTGATCAGTGGCCGGAGAGAGAGATGACCAGTGGCCAAAGAGAGAGAGAGAGTGGCCAGAGATAGAAATGACCAGTGGCAGAGAGAGAGATGACCAGAGATAGAGAGATGACCAGTGGTGGAGAGAGATGACCAGTGGCTGGAGAGAGAGATGACCAGAGATAGAGAGATGATCAGTGGTGGAGAGAAATGACCAGTGGCCGGAGAGAGAGATGACCAGAGATAGAGAGATGACCAGTGGTGGAGAGAGATGACCAGTGGCTGGAGAGAGAGATGACAAGAGATAGAGAGATGACCAGTGGTGGAGAGAAATGACCAGTGGCCGGAGAGAGAGATGACAAGAGATAGAGAGATGACCAGTGGTGGAGAGAGATGACCAGTGGCTGGAGAGAGAGAT